CAACTTAGATGTTCATCAATAGGAAATTTGCTGGATAACTTATGGTATTTCCATACACCAGAATAAAGGGCAGCTATAAATATAATGAGACGGTACTGCTGTAAATACCAATCTGGAACATTTTCTGAGATAGGAAGATATGTGAGGAACACAAAATGCAGAACAGTGTGTAATATACTCCTATTCTTCCAAAGGGGGAAGGGCAAGTATAAATACTCTGCATATATAAATGTATGTTTGAAAGGATACATAAGAAATGAGTAATCTTGGTTGTTTCTGGAAAAGAGAACTGGAAATAGGAAACTGAAGGCAGGGAATGGGGAAAGGTTTACTTTTCATATATATCCTTTACATGCTTTGAATATTTTACTATGGAATATATAAGCTATTCAAATATTAAAAATTAAAAATCCATCAAATATTTAAAATTTTATCAAACTCTATTATAAATTTTGACATGGCTGCAGGAAAAAATACTTGCTAGGAGATGGAGTTGAGATACTTAAGAATGTACCAAATCCTGTTAAAATTGCATATTTCAAGGAAATGAGAAGTTTCTGATAAAGTGGATGATTATTAACACAAAGTTGGAAATATAGAAACAAAGGAGTTACAGTGCTTTCCTTGCTGGGCACATTAGCTTCCCGTGCTGAGAAAAAAATCATGACAGCTTTCCTGAACAGAAGATACTTAGTTCCTTGCCATCCCTCCTCTTCCTCTACGAAGCTCAGACCCAGGGGTTGCCTGGCCTTTATTAATCTTTTATTAATAAATAGGTTGGTCTGACCAATAAAGGAAGGAGAATCAGGAATATGAGAAAAGAAACCATTTAAAATTGTACATGAATGAAAGAGCATGTTTACTGGGATAAAACACTTTACCGGAATAAAAATACTAGACTAAAAATATTTTATTTGTCAAATTTCTAGGTAATGAAAAGTAAATATCTATCTATCAAAAGGACCTCATTTGCATTACCTATAAGTTTGTGGAAGAATATAGGCCATAAACAAGTGCACACTATAAAATAGATTAAGGGTATAGTCACTCCCTACAGCCCTACAGAGCTCTGTAACCCAGAGGAAGAACATCTAGGCTATGGTGAGTACTTCTTTGTAAATTTTGCTTGAAGATATAAAATCTAAACTTAAAGTCACTGTTTTGCATTTATAAATGTCAGAAGCTTTGTTAACACCTCACTTTCATCTTGAAAGGTATTTTCTTTTAACAGTCCTGGTTCAAGACCTTAACGTGTTAAAGGAGTTTTTTGTTTTAACTAGACATAAAAAAAAACTGGTGTTTTATTTTCCTTTTTTGGCCAGTTTTAACAATTATAAGCCGATGGGCTAAAAGGCCTGACGAGGACAGTAGCCACCAGTTAGAGAAGCAGGTGGAGGACATACTTCAAACACCCAGTTGGCCTGGCCATGAATTGTCAGTGAGAAAACTCAATTCTTAGCTTAAGAATTGCCCTCATCACTCACGAAAGATGCTCCACATCGCTAATCCTTGGGGAAGTGCAAAACAAAACAGCTATGAGTTACCACCTCACACCTGTCAGAATGGATATCATCAAAAAGAACACAAATAAAAGACATTGGCAAGGATGCAGAGAAAAGGGAATCCTCATATGCTGTTGGGAATGTAAATTGGTGCAGCCACTGCAGAAAACCATATGGAGCTTTCTCAAAAAACTAAAAATAGAACTACCAAATGACCCAGCAATTCCACTCCTGGGTATATGTCTGAAAAAGAAAAAAACACTTATCCAAAAAGATACATGCACCCCAGTGTTCACAGCAGCATTATTTACAGTTGCCAAGATACGGAAACAACCTAAGTGTCCATCAACAGATTAATGGATAAAGAAGATGTGGTACATATATACAATGGAATATTACTCAGCCATAAAGAAGAACAAAATTTTGCCATTTGCAGCAACATGGATGGACTTGGAGGGCATTATGCTAAGTGAAATAATTCAGACAAAGAAAGACAAACACTGTATGATATCACTTATATGTAGAATCTAAAGAATACAAGAAACTAGTGAATATAACAAAAAAGAAACAGACTCACAGACATAGAGAACAAACTAGTGTTTACCTCTGGGGCGAGGGAAGAGGGGAGGGCAATATAGGGTTAGGGGATTAACAGGTACAAACCATCAGGCTTAAAATAAGCTACAAGGATATATTGGACGACGCAGGGAATACAGCCAGTATTTTATAATAACTATAAATGGAGTATAACCTTTAAAAACTGTGAATCACTGTATTGTACACCTGTAATTTATATCATATTATACATCAACTATACTTCAATTAAAAAAAAAAGAATTGCCTTTAGCAAATCACATTCCACAAGTTGTTGGACATTTTCTCGGACAGATTCCACTATGGTAGAACTTAACCAACTCTAAGTGCAACTTACAAGAAGATGAAAAGCATATGCTCCTCAACACACACAGGTGGCTGCATTTTAAAGAACTGAACTGTGGCCAAAGAGAAACGGCAATTTCTATGGGAGAAACACAAGGAGAAAAGAAAAGGAAAAGCAAGAGACAATGAGAAGAGAGGATACATCAGAGGACACGAAAAAATTAATTCCTCTAGAGGAGCAAACTCCTCCCTTTCCTTCCTGCCTCACAGCTCTGAGCAGAACAGCTCTTCCGGATACCAGACTCAAGTCTCACCTCCATTCACCTAATAAAGTCATTTCCATCCCTCCCCTCTCCACTTAAATCCATCCCGGGCATTCTACCCTAACCTTGAACGATTCTTCTCCCCCCACCTTGGAGTCATTCATTGAACAAGGCTGCAAGATGGCAAATGAGTTAACTCATGATTCATCATTGAGCTCACAGTTGAGTAAATGTCTTATGGTCCTTGACTCTGAAGCTTGAGCTCAACAAAGTAGAACAGACTTCAACATATCCTATCATTACACAAGCTCCTACCTGTTCACTGACTAGCACTTAGACTGACTGCTGAACAGAAGTATGTCCTCCAACTTCAGTTATTATTATTTCTGTCACAGATTTTCTGCAGCTCCAAACACTGGGTATTTGGTATTTGTATTGCTTCCTGTGATTCAACTAAGAAATGCCCCATCTGTGATGTGGAGGGTTAGAAATGGTCTTACAAATTTCTCTCACGCCTACAGTTACATCAATCTATGACTCTGTACACTGGGTAACCTCAAATCAGAGTAGCCTCAGTAAGTTAATCATTCAGCGATGCTACAACATATTTATTGAATGTTTAGTATATATCATATGATATCACTTACATGTCAGATGCTGTACAAGGCCCTAAGGAAAAAATGTGAATAAGACATAGATCCTGTTTTAAAATTGCAAAGAAACTTGAACTCGAGTGGAGTGTTGAACGGAAGGAAGGGGCAGAGAAAGCAGGTCACAGGGTAAACAATTGTCTAAAATAAGAGTGACCGTTGCTATGGCAGAGGTATGCCTTCCATGGTGGAGTAGCACAAAGGAAGGAAGCCTAAGATTCACGGTCAGAGAAATCTCTGGGAGCAGGTAGATCATAAGAGAAATCACTAGGACGTATGTGAGTCTGTCAGAGAAGGGTGAGCAGGTAACATAGTATCCAGAAGGGATGTGCCTGCTCTAGAGAGAACGGACCAATGGGTCCCATTTGTCCACTGCTTTGCCCCAGTTCTAACACAGACCTGCCTTATGGTATGCCATCAGCGGATACTCATTGAATGAATAAATGTTGATTGTTCTACACATCTGTAACATAGAATGGGGGGAGGGCAATGTCAAAGAACAAGGCTTTCGGAGTAGGAAAGTCATAAAGAGACTCTCGGAAAGGAGTTTGTAGTTTATTCTACAGGTAACAAGAAGCAAAATGAAGAATTATCTCCAGAAAACGGACATGGAAATATTCATTGTCATCTTTCCCAAGAGTTAAATGCCACGTGTCAGTGCCTGTTCCTGCCTCAGTCCCCAAGAGCTCATGCGACATCACCTGGATGCATGCTTTGAGCACAACTGTGCTAGCACATCCTTCTTTGATGGAACCTTTCCAGAAGGAAACTCAGAAGGATAAGGAGCAGATCACATGGGGTGGTCCCGAGTACACATATTTTTGATATAATCCTAATACCTTGGGGAAGAGGAGGTTTGGGGTCTGTCCTCTCAGTCTGAGAATGAAAATCATTGGAGGCTCTATCATACTAAGTGAAGTAAGTCAGACAAAGACAAATATCATATGATATCACTTACATGCGGAATCTAAAAAAAGATGATACAAATGAACTTATTTACAAAACAGACTCACAGACTTCAAAAAAAACTTGTGGTTATCAAAGGGGAAAGGTGGGGAGAGGGATAAATTAGGAGTTTGGAATTAACATATACACACTACTATACATAAAATAGATAAGAAACAAGGACCTACTGTATAGCACAGGGAAATTTATGTAATAAACTATACGGGAAAAGAATCTGGAAAAGAATGGATATATGTATACGTATAACTGAATCACTTTGCTGTACACCTGAAACCAACACAACACTACAAATCAACTATACTCTAATATAAAATAAAAATTAAATTAAAAAAAAAACTAAAAAGATAAATAAGCAAAACTGGAAAAAAAGAAAAAAGAAAAAAGAAAATCACTGGAGGCTAATTTCAAGGACTCCACTGAGTCTATCTTTCCAATAGGTGTGCCTGGCCCAGCGGCATGAGACGGCTGGTAGGCCCCCATGGGTGGAACCTTGCCTGAGTCTCTGGGCTTCTCATCAGGGCAGTTCCCAGGTGAGGGTGTTTCCACCACTGTGAGGGAGGAAGCATTCCTCAAACCACTGTCCACAGAGTCCCCTAGGCTGGGAATCAGATTAGCTCTCAGTAAATGGGATTGGTCAAGGCACCGAAGTAGCATCTTGGTGCTTCAGGTGAAGAGGGGTGAAGTGGGAGTGTTATCAGAGTTGCTCGGGGACAACAAGAGTGAGACGGTGTAAGACGTACCTTGTGAGGCCTGGGAATCTGGGTGTCTTTTCAAGGGGAGCCTTGCAAGGGCTGAGCTGCTCTCTTCCCAGCGCGGGTACCTACAAACCAGAAACACCATGCTTGGTAAAAATAGAAAGACCCAAAACAGGAAGGAAAACACCCAAAGAACAGAGAGCCCGAGTGAGACGGACTTTTAAAAGACTGAGACCACTTGCCAAGGTTCTTAGTTTCTATAGCCAGTTCACAGATTTATCATGCTATACATCTTTGTTTAATAAAACTCTGTACCACTACATCGAGGAGGATGTACAAGGTGTGTGCCCTGGAGGGGGGTGACGGGCACCGTCCACACACCTACAAGTACTTACAGAGGCTACGCTCAGTGACAAGGATATGAGTCCAACCAAAGATGGCTTCCAAAGGAAGGGTGTCAATATCTAGTGTACACAAGGACACATATAGCTGTTCAGGCATTGAGACACACGAAAGGCAAAAGTGTCACATATATCTGCTGATATCTAATCCTGCGAAGCCTCTAGAAAGAACTTCCTCATCTCAGGTGAAATCCCCACGTTATCCCAACATTTCTTCACCACCACCACCTCACAACTAGAACATTTCTGGTCTAGATGCTTGATCCAATCTGCTTTACAGTTCTCTGACGCCTTAGGCAGAAGACATTGACAACTTTCAATCACTTTAGAAACAGTATTTTTATATTACAAGGAACAAAGCTAGAGTATGAAGCCACAAAGATCTTTGGAGAAATTTTCAGTTGATTTTTTCTTTCTTTTTTACATTTTATAACATGAGAAATAGATTAGGTTCTTAGTTTCAAGTATTCAGAACCGAAACAGAAGATAAGTATCTTTTCTCACCTTTATTTTGAGACACTGCCATTAATGGATAACATTTTAGGGTTAAGAATCAGGAAATTATATAATTAACACCCTAGAAAAGCTCATTTATGGTTGAGAGGCATCTCCACGTAGGAAACAGCACATTTTCAACAGCCCATTCTCACGTGCACGTGCCAGTGGAAAAAAAATGATGACTGGGTAACAGACCACAGGACAGCTCAAGGGCAAATTATAAACAGTATCAGAGGCAAAGGAATTTACAACCAGGGGATGTCACCTTATTATTAGTCATACATGTTGCTGCCTACCATAGGATCTACTTAAAAGACTTTATTCCAGATTCCAAATTATAACTATCCAATTATGTACCACCTGGTTCAAGAATTGTAGGTAAAGAAAGTTTGGATGATTAAATAATGCCTAGACCACTCTTTATTGCTTAAAAAGATAGAAAATACCTTATTTTTTGAAGGGGAGAAAACCCAGAAGATGTGAATTACAGTAGCTTCCAAGTCAAATCGCTTAATTTGGTATCACATGCTGTGTTCATTTCAGTTTCCCTACAGAAGAGTAACTGAAGGTTTAGCTGATATTTCTTCTCTCGGTGCTGTGAGTCTTTTCCTTGCCCTTTCTCTCTTACAAATGGACGCACACCATTACTTTCTGAGCAGCCTCGGAGGCAGCTGCTTCAGCGGAAGTTCACTTTTCTGAATTCCACGGGTTGAACCAGTGATCCATTAGAGAAGACAGCTTTGGCCCGGGATTCAGGATCTGGGCTGCTGGTCCCGGCTCCTCCACCAGCTTGCTGTGTGACCTTGAAGAAGTCATTGCCTCTGTGAGGCTTCCGTCTTCATATCTAACTGAAGGCAGGGGGCTGCACGGGATGATCTCAGGGATCTCCTCCAACCCTGATATCATCATCTGTGGTTACAGGAAAGAAGCACAGTCATAGGGAGAACAGAGAACAAAGATGAGAGACAGTGACCTGGAAGGAAACTAGTTCAATTGCTGAACATCCAGGCCAGCGATCTGATCCAAAAAAAATGTCAGGTGGTGGGATTGTAAGAGCCTGTTTTTCAGTTTCACAGTTTCCATCTCAGATCTTGGAAAACCAGCATCTTCAGTCTTTTCTCCACTTGGCATCTCTGACTCCAAATCAGCCCTGAGCCAACAATTGGCTCAACGGGTCCTTAGCGAGGGGTGCCCCTGGTCCCCACACATCTCTCTTCCCACGCTCCCGTTCTCTCGCACGAACCCATCAACAGCACACAGAGTGAAGGGGCTGAAAAAAAACGAAGGGAATGTACAGTCATGCAGCAACCTCACAGTGAAGGGGAGGAGAGCTGGCGTCGCAAAGGAATCCGAAGCAGACAGGGTTTAGCAAAAAGATGACTACGAAGCAGAGGTCTAAGAAATCCCACATCCCCTAGACGGATAAATCTCAGAAAAGCACCAGAAGAGGAGGAGAAAGGGAGCCCTAAGCAGAGAGCCAGCTTCTCAGGAATGATTGAAAAAATCACAAAATGAAAAAATATGCCCAAATCAAGAAGAGAATGTATTATCAACTCCCAAGGGAAGATGCTGACGACCCTTTGCTGTCATTATTCAAATCCAGGCAAGTCTGGGCATCAGAAAGACACACCACTGGGATCAGATGACCGGGCTGCATGACTTAACAAGTCTTTCCTTGCCTGGATGACAGCCACAGCAAGGGCTGGATGAGAGCCACAGCAAGGGCCCGAGGGCTCCACGAACAAGAACAATCATTTGGTTGATAGTGATTGGACCTTGGTTGATGGAGACAGCATGTTAAATTGCTAGTTTGGGCAAACAGTATAGCACAATACAAGCGTGTTTTCCCTGCTGGCATCCAAGTTCTCCATCACCATAAAAGCAAGCTGCTTCTCAACCATAAACACAAATTTCTAAAGAACATTTGGGTCCTTGTGGGGTTTTCAGGTGGCTGATGGGGTATGTTTGGGGAAGGGAGGCATTTTACATTCTATCCATCTAGCTAAACATAAGAATGTAAGCACATATTTTTCTGATGTAGACAACGTAAGGAGAATATTCTGACAAAGACCACAGTGCTTCAGCCCAGCTGAAGGTGGTGACAGTCTGTAGTCAGAGCAGCCCACGTCCCCTTCAGCACAAACAGCTCGTGCGAGTGCCCTGCTAAGAAAAGGACACTGGTAGCCTCATTTGTGGTATCAAAGCACAGCCAGGGAGGCTGGAGCCCATCCAAATGTATTCGTGTTTCTCCCAGAGGACGGTACCCCACGACAAGACAGTCTCTGTTTTTAGAGACAGGGAACTGGCAGGGCGAGATAAAATAGGTTTGCAAGTGAATCCTCCTCTAATATGGAAGGACCAAAGAAAATAACTACCAAAGCAAAACAACTCAGGCAGCAGCAACCCAGAGCCCCAGGTCACCTGCTCCCCACTTCCTGGCATGGACTTTGCTGCTGCTGTTGTGAAACAAGTCGGTTCCTAGTTAAGAAGAATTCCGGATTCATTTTCCTTGCAGGTTCTAACCAAGCTCCACCTGACTGACAAGTCCTTAAGTTCTAAGAACCTTTCACAAGAATGGGGTGTCTTCCAGGATAAAACCTGACCTCCTTCTTAAACAGCTTGGATCCTAATGAAAGGTTAGAAGAGACAATCAAAGAAGTTTCCTCCCAAAAAATCCAGAATTTTGGCCCAATAATTAAATCAAAAGAAATCAGACAGACTCATTAAAGTAATCCCTGGGTTCTTTAGAGCTTCAGTATCATACCTTCTGCTGAGCTGATGACAGGTGGGGATCTTATAGGAATCAGTGGATCCAATTAGCACCAGGGGTCCACAAGTCAAGCACTTCCAGGTTACAAATTATTGGTGACATTTCTAGACACAGATTGACAGCTGGAGCCAGGACAGCCCTCTCGTCACCCCTGGAACCTGATTAGGGAGCAAATGCCCTACCCAACTTTTCTAATCTACAATATAAAAAAAATGCATCCTAAGAATTTTGTTACCACACTGACTCATGCCCAGGGGACTGGCATATGCTTACGCTAAAGAACCCCAAACAGGCTTGTCAGTGATGTTCATGTTTTGAACTTGTAAGAACATACATATCCAGGCACCCAGACTGTATAAGAATCATTATCGTGATACAATTATATAGTCGTTTGTCGATAATGGCATCACTTCGAGGTTCTCTGTCTGGAAAATTTCAGACGCCAGTCTTGCAATAAAGGAGTTAAGAGTCCATTTCTGTTTTAAACTAGTCGTTCTCAAACTGTTTCCTTAAAATAATAGCACTCCAGAAGCTGGGCCAAAATATTCCACAAGTAGCATTCAATAAAGTTAGAAAAAATTACTAGGAAAAAGTTGAAGTTAATGATTGTCAAGTAGGTTTCCTCACATGTATCTTTTTAAAAGCCTCGATGGTAGCTCCCCACGTGGCTGTTAGAGTATGTTGGCCGATGACGACGTGGATGAACAAATAGCAAATAGTCAGGGAGACTCAGTAACAGTGGATCCTGCTGATTCAACAGCTTGTTTCTTTTCCCACGTACATGTGTGCTCATAATTGTGGTTGTGTCTTACAAACACGTCACATGCCTCCATTCAGCTTTTCAAGTTTCAGAGACGGGGGCATGTCTCTCCCCCCAGTTCAACTGACTGTTTAAAAATACCTGTCTTACCTTAATAGAAGGAAAAGAGCACACACACCCTCTGCTTACTCATCAGGGACTATAACTTTTCACTCCTTGCCTCTCTGCAGTGAGCAAAACTGAGCGAGAAAAACAAGACTGAAGGAGAGGCAGTCCAACCCCTTCTACATAATCTAAAGCAGGAGCAAGCTTTCCCAGTGAAGGCCCAGCTAGTAAATATTTCAGACTTTGTGAGCAACATGCTCTGCCCCAACTGTGTAACTGCTGTTGTAGCACAAAAGCAGGCATTAAAAATACATGAATAAATGAATATAATGTGTTCCAATAAAGTTTTAATTACTGATACTGAAATTGGAATTTTATATAATTTTCATGTCATAAAATCTTTTTTTTCAACTACTTATAAATACAAAAAGAAAAAAATTCCCATTTGACCCACAGGCCATAATTTGGCAACGTACCCTAAGTTCTAGATGCTTTCAAATGTATCCTTGATCATTGAAGAACAGAGCGCCTGACTCTCTCATTTTGGCCCATGGCTAGATTACGTCTACTGAATTGGCTTTGCTGCAATTCCATCAAACTACACAAAGGGAAGTGTAGAAATGGGAGATGAACTTCACAATTGGGTTTACCGAGAAGATGCCACCCAGAACCTCACACGCTGCTATTTGACAGTGGGCAGTGATCTCTCTGGGGTCTTGATCGTAGGAATGGTTGTTCTCCTGGGCAAGTGGCTTACTACAAAGAATAACACTGATAACTTTCCTTCTTGCTTTAGCTGCTGCAAAGTTCACTGGCCAATTTTTTCTGATCTAGCAAGCATATTGGATTGCACAGCATATATTTTACGGAAATGCATCCCATTTTTATCTAGTTTTTCTAACCAATTTTTCTCTTTAGAATGAATTCCTCACTTTTAACACATTATTGTATTATATGGATTTTAATAATTAGCCCAATATGGCAGGATGCAAATAGGATAATACCAATAAAATATATACATTATACTTAATTTCTGTACTTAAAGTTGGTAATTTATTAATCAAAAATAATTTGTCATAATGTCCTCAAAAGAGCACTGTGACCTCCAGGTACATAACCAGTGAGACCAGTGGTTTTCTGGCTTGTCACAGCTGGAGTCCTCTCCTTGAAGGAAATCTTAGGCAGAAGCCCAAGAATGCACCAGACACAACAAGGAGTTGACCTGAGTGAAGTGCGACCACAGGCCCAAGGAAAGAAGGTACAGAGGTCACCTGAAGGACAGTCACTGGGAGTGCTTATTAGAATGACAGTTTTCTGGGCTCCACTTAGAACCTCTGGATCTTCTTCTTTCAGGCATGGAGAATGATAATCTGCATTTTAAATCAGATCCTTGGACAACTCTTTGAAACAGGAGAAACTGAACATCACTCTGCTAAGGACAATCAGAAAAACACTGTTCCAGATAATAACACCAACTATTGGAGAATTCCAAGAGGATGGGGCTAGGGAAAAGGAGCCATTTGGGAAACTGGGCAGGTTCTTGGTGTACATGATGATGACATGGCCCCCAGGACTCGTTTGTCTGGGTTCAAATCCTGGCTCTGCAGGTTACTAGCTGGGTAACCTTGGGCAAGTCACTTAACCTCCCTGGTAAGTATAATACCATCTTCCTAATCTATATCCCCCATTGTAAAAGGAGGATGTTGGTAAGCAAAGCCTTGCTGGGAAGATTCTGTGAGTGTCTGTAAGTTTTTGGAACAATTCCCAGACACTTTTCCATAATCCATCCCCCTCCTATCAGACACTTTCTAATGCCTTTCCTAATGTCTCCTCCTAGTTCTCTTCTCTCCTTTCCTCTGTCATTCTTATTCTTCTGTTTTACCCTCTTTGAAATCAAAACTCAACATAGTAGGACCGAAGTGGAGAAAGGGAAGCAGCTCCTGGTTGAGAAGATTAGGAGGAGGTTGGGAGGGAGATAATCTTTGCTACTTTGAAGCCACGCTACTGTGAAAACCCCACAAAAGAATGTGTAGCGTCCTCACTAGGCTTGGCTGAAGGCACTCGCACTTCCTTAGTGGCCTGGGCTGAATTCTGATGACACCCCTGTAGACCAAGACCAAGTTTTAGATGTCCAGTTTGAGTCCAGCCATGTCCCCACTGCCCCTAATGAATGGCCCAGCAGCCGCAGTGCCGACATTACCAGGAAGAGGTGTATACTCAACGCCCATCATCTTTTAGTGCAAATATACATTAAGAATAATCACTACATTTCAATCAGTAGCCAACCATTTCAACAGGTTTTTTCACTTATAGTGCCTTAAGGAAACAAAGTGTAAGACTGACTTGGCAGTATTGTGTGTATATTTCAGTACATGTATGGGGGGGGCAGGGATATTGCCCAAGGTGATGAAATTGATTCTTTGGAGGCAAAAGAATCTCAGCTTTTACAATGGTCTATGGTCATATGGCGGTCCACAGCACATAAACAGATATACAGCATATTTGAGGCGTTAAAATTTCATGGGGAAAAGGAGTGATTGGGGAAAAAAATGTCTAAAACAACTTGGCAGGGTAGTGTAGGAGGATACTAATGAGAAAAGGGTGAGAGATACTGTTTCAGTGAACTAGGCTGTGCAGGTTTGGTGGCAGAAGAAACTCAGGATGCTCAGATAAAAGAGATTTTAAGGCAGATCCATTAAAATCATCCTGATGCCTCCTGAAGATTCCGAGGGGGTCTCGGAGCTTCTGGAACACATCATCATTGGCAAAAGTTTTAAGATGGGCTGTAGGATGGGGTGAAATTAAAGCAATGCATAGTAAAGTACACTCC